AGTCTTAATGAATAGTATTCTCTGTTTTCCAATTTCTTAGGTTTGATAGCTAAGCATTTTCTCTTTTTTTTTTTTTTGAGATGGAGTCTCGCTTTGTCGCCCAGGCTGGACTGCAGTGGCACGATCTCGGCTCACTGCAAGCTCCGCCTCCCAGGTTCATGCCATTCTCCTGCCTCAGCCTCCCGAGTAGCTGGGACTACAGGCGTCTACCACCACGTTCAGTTAATTTTTTGTATTTTTAGTAGAAACAGGGTTTCACTCTGTTAGCCAGGATGGTCTCCATCTCCTGACCTCGTGATCCGCCGGGCTTGGCCTCCCAAAGTGTTGGGATTACAGGTGTGAGCCACGGCGCCTGGCCCCAGATTTCTTACTGTATTGTGCAGTTCAACCTCCAGGTCAGTAGGTGATGCTTATGCATAAAGTTCAGCTGCAGCTGACTCAAACGGGTATATACTTGATTCTTGTTTACTGGGAGAAGTTCTGTTGACTCGGGCAATGGGCTGATCTGTGGAATGCACAGTGGTCTGAGCTCCGTGCTTATTTCTGGAGTGGGGGCCAAGATGGGTGGGATAGACTAAGCAAGCTCTCCTACAGTTCTCCCAATGGCAGGCAGAAGTATTAGCTCTGAGGCAGGGTCTGGTGGGCAGCTGCCAAGTGCCTGGAGATGTGCCTAGGCATAGAGTCTGGAAACCTCCACTGTCCCAAGTTCTCTGCACAGGAAGTGGGGGAAGCTTAAATTCCTAATCTAAAGAGTTGGTTCTTCAAATGCCTGGAAATATGTCTGGGCATTGAGTGAAGAGAGCTTTGCTCTACCAAGATCTCTGCAGGGAGGAGCAGGTCAGGCTTCTAATTTAGACAATCAAGTGTGCCAGATGCCTGGAAATATGCCCCAGCAAGGTGGAGAGAAACCAATGCTGCCACAAAGTTTTCCTGGTGAACATAGGGGTAGCTCAAGCTTCTAATCTGGGGGAGCAGGTGCACCTCGAGTTGGGTGATATGTCTGGGGAAAGAGCAGAGAAACTGCAGCCATAACAAGGTCTTTGCATGGGAGGAAGAGGTGGCTCAAACGCCTAGTCCATTAGGGCAGGTGTGTTAAATGGCTGGAATTACATCCAGGTGTGGAATGGAGGAAGTGCCACTACACCAAGTTCTTTGTGTGGAAAGGGAGTTCTTTGTGTGCTCAAGCTCCAATTTTAAGGGGGCAGGTGCATCAAAAGCCTGGAGATAGGATATTCAACCTTTAATCTTATTTTGTAGTTTCTAAACAGATAAGCAACAGTTATAAATTCTGTATCTTGATAATGCCAATAGATGGATCTCTTCTGCAACTCTTCATAATCTATTTTTCTCCTTGTTTTTCATAATTCTTGTATTTTTGCATTCCTGGTTGTTTTTTAATCAAGTGCTGAACATTGTGCATGGAAAATTGTAGTTAATTTGATATGGGATAATGCTTTCTTCCCCCAAAGAAGATTTATTTTTGCACTAGCAGATGGTTTGTGTGCATGCAGAGGTAGATCATCTGATTTCATTCGGGTTTGGGGTTGTATTTCATTTTTTGATGAGGGCTGATCCACTTTTAGTTTACTCTTACTTGTAGGTTGTGTCTTTCAGCAGTACCAATAGAAACCCTGGAATATTTATCAAAGCCTCTATGCTTTGGCAGATTAATTTTTGCCCCATCAGTCCAATGAAACTGCCGAAAGCTCTACTCAGGTTTTCAGCCCCAGTTTCTGTTTTTTAAATCAGCTAATACTTTAAGGGGATAGTGGTGTCAAATAACGTATTTATCTCACAAAATTTTCTGCTCTGTGAAATCTTGGCCCCTCAAGTCTTAGTTGTCTTTGGCAGCTATATGATACCTTCTAACGAATGTTTAGATTTTGTCCAGCTTTTCTAATTATTGTAGGTAGGAGTATTGGCCTAAAACCAGTTCGAAATTTTTGCACGCACAGCACATAATATATGGTATGGTTTGACTCTGTGTCCCCACCCAAAACTCACCTTGAATTGTAATAACCCCCATGTGTCAAGGGCAGGACCAGGAGAAGGTAATTGGATCATGAGGGCAGTTTCCCTATGCTGTTGTTGTGATAATGAGTGAGTCTCACAAGATCTGATGGTTTTATAAGCATCTGGCATTCTCCCTGCTCACACTCACTCCACCTTGCTGCCTTGTGAAGAAGGTACTTGCTTCTCCTTTGCCTTCTGCCATGATTGTATTAATAACTTTCCTCAGGTCTCCCTAGCAATGCAGAACTCTGAGTCAACTAAACCTCTTTCCTTTATAAATTACCCGGTCTCGGGTATTTCTTCATAGCAGTGTGAGAACAGACTAATACAATATACTATTGAGTTATCACTGTATATCTTACAGTTTTATACAATTCAGAATAATTTATTTTTAGCCATGACATATGTAACTATAAATATGAATGTGTATTTTTCTTTGTCTGTTTATCATTGTAACTAGTTCCAGGATTCTTTTTTAGGGAGCAACTTCCTTTGTTTAAAAAAAAAAAAAGCCTCATACTTGCTTTTTGGCCTGATACTTGGTTTTTGGAAGTTGAGGGGTCTCTGAGATCATGGTTTGGTAGCGGTAAGAACAAAGCAAAACAAAAAATAGAGGAAAGTATTAAAATTTCTTGGCACAAGATACTAGACATTTAGAAGAGAGAGTAGAATAGTGAGGCTGAAGCAAAGTAAAACTGAGACATTTCTTTTTTTTTTTTTTTTTTTGAGACAGAGTCTCACTCTGTCGCCCAGGCTGAAGTGCAGTGGCATGATCAAACTGAAATATTTCTGATGGCAGCTGAATGTTCTGAGAAAATGAAATATTTGCTCTTAAGGTATTTACTTTTCTATGATGTAATATCCTTATATTACCTGAAATATTCAGAAAAGTCTTTTAAACATAGAAAGTCATACTTTTGTGAATGATTTTAAAGAAAATAAAGGAAAGGAGGGTGCCTTGAGTGCCTTGTTAGGGACAGCATGAAACAACCACAAAAAAAGAGGAGCTCAGAAAGATGAGATACTGGTGAGACAGAGCAAGAATTTAGTGGAAGGAGGAAACAAGAAGCAAAAGAGAGAAGTAAAAATATAAATTCCACAGAATTTGAAGAAATCTTAAAGGAGGACATTGACATACGATGGGGGACTCAAACCACATTTTTATATACGTCTCAAAGCACAAGGCCTCTCAGTTGATGCCTGGGTAACTTTTATATGCATGCTCGAGACTCAGGTATGTATTCTCACCTCCTTTACCAAAGGATCTGTGATCATGGTGAAAGTGTATGAAGGAAATTTTAATAACACATAAATTTAATCTCAGACTATTGAGCTTCAATCCTAGACCTTTGGCAGTGTTTTTCACTTCAGGAATTCTTCATTTAAAATGCTTCTGACCTGACAGAGTTTTTCTAGAAACAATTAACAAATAAAAACAGTATAGGAGATGTATATGAAATTAAACCCAGATTAATATGACTATGAATTAGAATAGACAACTTTTCTCTTTGATAATATGTAGTGAATTTTCAATTATCATGTGTTTATTGTTTATGAGAAAACTTTAAATTTCAAGCTGATATTCTTGCCACGTCTAAATCCTTTCATTCTAAAAGAATACATAGTTCCATACAACATGCATTACCACACTGTAATCAAAGAAATATAATGAAAATAAGTTGTAGCATCCTCATCCAGGGATATTTGCCTCTAAGCATTTGCTGGATGATCCTAATTATCTCTACTTCTGCAATCATAGGAGTGAAAAATTAGAATCCCTGTTGGTAGGAAAGATTGAAGAAACTTTCCCCCATCCCAGGTTCCATCTTCAGAACTCTTGCTCCTTTTACCTTCTCTATATTTTTCAATGGTACCTTGGATGTTTACCCTAGCCACTGCAGCCTAGCTCAAGCAGATGGGCTTGTTATACTTTGTTAGAAAGAAAAAGGGGTATTTCAGGTTACCAACAATGTATGGCTAAGGTTCTCTTGTAAGTTACAGTGTCATATATTTTTGGCTCAAGACTAAATTCCAAAGAGCTCCACTACCATTACTACAGCTGAGATAACAGTACAGGTTGAAATATACCAAACAGCCCTTTCTGAAAGTCATTTACCATCACTCCTTGTAAGCACTTAATATTTACATTTTCCTTTTTGCATTTTTTTTCTATAGTCTGATCCAAATTAAGCTAATATAACAGCCATCTTGCTCCCAGAGCTTAGGACTCCACGCATGGCTTTTGCTGGACCTTCTGTGAATCCCATTTTCTCACTTTCTTCTCTGGCCTGTAGAACAAGACTCTCCCTGGTTGTGTTTTTCTTTTCCTTTTGAACATGAGCTCTACTCATGTCTGTGGGGCTCTTACTTTCACAGATCATTTTCTTCTTTGAGAATATTGCACCATTCCTCTACTAGGTGTGCTGTGCTCACTCTTCTACTGAACAGTCATTTCCAAAGTCTACACTTAAGCATCCCGATCCTTGAGATTATACTACTTCATTATACTACCCCCAGTAGTGCTGTTGCACATCATTTGCATTTCAAAAGCAATGTCCACAGGCTTTAATCTGCAAAGTAGTCAAGACTTAACATTAATAATTGAATAGAGATAGTGCTGGTACATTTTCTGGGATGTATTCCTTAAGCTCATAATGCAGGATAATATGGTAATATCACCTTAGTAAACTATGGAGGCTATTGTGTATAAAAACAGGGAACGCTACAGAACCATTTGGTGGCACTGATAATGGTATTTCCATTAGTGTAGTGAGTTACTTTTATAATGAAATCTTAGAGGCATTCATATGTGTTAAGTATGCCAGAGGAAATATTCAAACATGGGTTTTATATTGTTTCAGAAATTATTCCCAAATTTACCGATGTGTTACTTTTTTTTTTTTTTTTTTTTGATAAAATTCATTAAAAGCAGGAAGCCATAGGGACTTCACATACAGCTTCCTCCTCTCACTTGCATAGTGACCTACCTGTGATGGCCAGCTGAGTCACAAAGAAGGTCATTCTTGACTTCCTCTTTCTCCTCCATGTGGAAAAAAGCACAACGGAGTTTCCAACAATGGTAAAAACAAAGAGGACCCACAGAGTTATCAATTGCTCAGTCTGCAAGAAACAGAGAAAAATAAGACCAGTGTGCCAGTGAGAACCAGGGTTCTTTACAGAATGCATGGCCCAGGCTTTGGTGCTGGATTTCTTCCTCCTGGCCCCATATCCTTACCTTTGGAAGCTCTGCTCTTAAGAAAACAATGACAAAATGGTCTTCATTTACACCAGCTGCAGAGTAGATTAATACACCTTTTAAAAATCTTTTGGAAATATATGTCAAGAGACAAAAAGTTTATACTCTTTGGTCAAGTAATTGTAACACTATGTGAAAAGTAGGTCAAGATGTGAAAAAGAACACCACTGTCACAAAGATGTCCATATTTATTGTAAAAAGAAATTAGAAATTGTTTAAAGATAATAGGATAGCTAAGTAAATAAAGCACTTCAATTCAGTGAACTATTACAGCATGGCTATTAACAATGACAACCACAAAGACCATGTAGCAATATTAAAAATACCTATAATATAATGGTAAGTGGGAAAACATGATAAAATCATGTACTGGGTATGATTACAACTCTGTAAAATTATATACATAGCAAAAAGGCTGAAGTACAGTAAAATGTTAAAAGCAGTCATATTAGGATGGTATAATTATGGGTTATCTTTTGTTCATTTGACAGAATTTTATAAGACAGTAATATTAAAGTTCTACTGAAGAATATTTCTGTGGTTTGAATGTGTCCTCCAAGGTTCATATGTTGAAATTTAATCCCCAAAGCAGTGGAGTTAAGGTAGAACCTTTAAGAAGTGACTAGATCTTGAAGGCTCTGCCCTCATGAATGGATTAATGTCGTTATTGTGGGAGTGGGTTAGTTATTGCAGGAGTGGGTTACTGATAAAGGAATGAACTCAGTTCTCTTCCCTTGTCCCTCTCTCACCCTCTTGCTTTCTGCCATGGAATGATGCAGCAAGAAAGCCCTCACCAGATACCAGCACCTTCCCAGACCCTCACACTGTAGAAATAAATTACTTTTCTTTATAAATTACTCAGTCTTTGATACTCTGTTATAGCAGCATAAAACAGATTAAGATAAATGATTAATTAGTAAAAAGAAAAAAAGCAGGAATGCTATTAATCTAACGGTCCTTCTAAGGAATTTGTTTTGTTTTGTTTTGTTTCATTTTTTTGAGACAGGGTCTTGCTCTGCCACCCAGGCTGGAGTGCAGTGGAATGATCTCAGCTCACTGCAAGCTCTGCCTCCCAGGTTCATGCCATTCTCCTGCCTCAGCCTCCCAAGTAACTGGGACTACAGGCACCCACCACCACGCCCGGCTAATACTTTTTGATTTTTTAGTAGAGACGGAGTTTCACCCTGTTAGCCAGGATGGTCTCCACCTCCTGACCTAGTGATTTGCCCGCCTCAGCCTCCCAAAAAGTTCTGGGATTATAGGCATGAGCCACCATGCCTGGCCTTCTAAGAAATTTCTTATGAGCATTTTCATGAGTCCTATATTTTATCAATCTGATATTTAGGCTCTCCATCCTGGATTTACAGATCAGTTTCTAAGATCCTAGGTGGAGGTCAGGGCCTTGGAACTGCAGAACTGTGGAAATGAGGATAGGCATTGTGGTGATGTGGGGGGAGGATGAGGGCTGCACAACTAGAGTGGGAGGATGACAGGGTTGGAGAGCTCTGCAGATAAATCATGTCCAGCATACATACGTCACATCCCACTTGGAGGGCACCATCTTTGCTCAGCTTCAAGCCACACACTTTTTCTCTGGTTCTTTGACGACTAGAGGGGTCATATCCTGGATAACTCATTTCTCTAGCAGTCTTTAAATGGGTGATAAAGCATCAGGAATGAAAACTAATTATTATGCAAAGTACTGTACTGAGTGGAGGGAGTGAATTTTTGTAAGAGAATTCTCCCCATTGAGATAGATGGACAACAGTGCTGTCAGTAGCAGATACAACAGGAGAGGCCTTTTTGATGTCGTAGACTGACACTTCCCATTCAGGTGATGTGTCAGCAGTGGGACATAAAAAAGTGATTTGAATTTGGAGGACCTCTCTTTTAAAAAACAATGGAACAACTTGCAGACTAACATAAGCAGCCAGGTGGCTTGGAAGTCTCCATCATAAGGTCTCACTGACACCATGGTGCTGACAGATGAAACAGCTGAGGGACGGGGTTGGGGATAATGTGTCTATGTTCCTCAAATTGTTCTAATATAATATTCTATCAGGGAGGATGATGGTGCCCTGGGGGTGTCTAGGTTCAGAAAACAGCCCATCAAGCAGGTGGCCTGGCAGGTAAAGTATGACAGAAGGCCATCAAATACTTTTTGTCTCTAGAATGAGCTTTGGTGTGAATGCCCAGGGCAGCGCTGTGACACAGGTTTTGGGCCAGCCCTCCTGTGCCAAGCTCTTAGTTCTCTTTCTTCCCTATTCCTTGTTAACATTCTGAGTCTTCTAGGGAAGCGCCCCAGTTTTCCAGAAGCTTTTCCACCTGTTAGCATGAGCTTGGCTATGAGCAGCTGCACATGGCGGAGGCCTTTGGAAAGTGCTTCTCAAAGTGTGGTCCATGGCTAGGGTAATTATGAAACCTGGTTTGCCTAGGACAGTCCTAGTTGTCAACTGCTGTCCCAAGATAATTATTTAAATTTCCCTTTCTCTCTCAAAAAGTGTCTTTGGTTGGATAGTCAATTATATAATCATCCTATCCATGGTTCCCAGTGGGTGGGCTCCAAATATCATAGCCTAGTCTATATCAATCCCTAAAGATGAAGTACTCTCTCTCTCTCAGCTTTGAAAGATTTAGGGGATTTAGAGGTTTGGGTTAGTTCAAGATATGATATGGGTTCCCTGGAGACCTTTCAAGAACTGTGCTCATTGAATATGGCACTTCAGCCCTAGAGTTGAAGGAGTTCACAGCTCTAGTGGGTCACCTATGTCTACTTTCACAGCCCCATGCTGGAGGCTGGGATGGCCTCCTCTTTCTGGCTAAGGCCGCCATACATGTCTTTGGCACTGCCAGGAGGCCGAGGAAGTGTTACAGCACACTGGCTGGCTGGAAAAGAGGTGGTATCTCTTCCGCTGCTGCTATTCTCCATGTGGGAGAAGAAACTGAATCCACAAGGCACTGCATACCTCTACTTAGTTTGTAGTTGCTTGATTTTTACTGTATGAGACTTCCCTGCATTTCTCTTCTCTCTCTCTCTCTTCCCCATCATATTCTGCTTTCCATTGTTTACAGTGAAGTTTATAAGAATTTCTTTTCTGTTGTTTTTTAGAGACGGAGCCTAGTTCTGTCCCCCAGGCTGGAGTACAGTGGTACCATCTTGGCTCACTGCAAGCTCCGCCTCCTGGGTTCACGCCATTCTTCTACTGCAGCCTCCCGAGTAACTGGGATTACAGGCGCCCACCACCATGCCCAGCTAATTTTTTGTATTTTTAGTAGAGACAGGGTTTCACTGTGTTAGCCAGGATGGTCTTCATCTCCTGACCTCATGATCCACCCGCCTCGGCCTCCCAAAGTGCTGGGATTACAGGTGTGAGCCACCTCGCCCAGCCACTGTGTCCCTTTTCTTAATGCAATGTCCTTTCAAGCTCTGCTGAGAATACAAGTAAGAGATTTTCCAAGATTTACTCCCGTTTCTTGTAGGGAATCCGTTTCGTAAAGAGAAGCATGTTGATGCCTTAAAGCAATTTCTTCTTTAAAAATTGCAATTAGCTGGTCGTGGTGGCACGTGCCTGTAGTCCTAGCTACTAGGGAGGCTGAGGCAGGAGAATCACTTGAACCTAGGAGGCGGAGGTTGCAGTGAGCTGAGATGGCGCCACTGCACTCCAGTCTGGAGACAGAGTGAGACTCTGTCAAAAAAAAAAAAAAAAAAAAAAAAGAATTGAAAAGAATTGAAAAGAAAAGCCTAGACGGTGCAAGGGGATGGTTTATTTCTGCACTTGTCCAGTACTGTATTGGTCTCTGCTGAACTCTTTCATTCTTGAATGGAGAAAGAAGAAGGAAGAGAAAAGCTAAAGCACTTAGGATGTTTCTTTGCCAGATCAGAAAGCCAGGTCTCCATGGTGGGAGAGGTGAGAACAATGTCTGGAAGCAGCCAAAGAAGGAGGCAAGGGTGGGATGTGAGGAAGATAGTAGATACAGGAATGTTTTCCTTACTGAGGCTCTGTCTTCACTGGCACCATCCATAGCCTCGCCCAAGTTTTACTTAGCCAGCCGTCCACACTCCTTTAGCTGGGAGAAGGCACTGACCACAATCCTTTTCTGTGAGGTCTGCAGCATTCAGTGAACCTCCCACAGAAATTTGCTCACTGGAGGTGGCCCCAGCCTCAGTGGATGGACTCTGAGTAGTGGAATGCCCTGGGGCTGATCTCTTCTCTGCTGACCCCCCAGGAAGGCCTTTACTTCCTGTCAGAGAGCAGAGGAGTCTGTCGACCCCTCCCTCAGAACGTCTTACCTACTCTACACGTTGTGGACATTCCTCCAGTTTTCCAGCAGGTGGAAGGGAATAGGGACCTTCCCTCTTTTCTACTTCTGATATGGAAGCCTTTTCAACTGAAATTACTTTCTGATAGCCTATTGGATAAGAATTGGAAAGAGGAAGAGAATAAGTGAATTCAGGGGAGTTTTGCATTGGAAGTCAACATTACGTTTTCAGACTATATCTCTCTTTCATGTTTTCCTTTCCTCATGTAAGTACAGGCAGGCCTTACTTACATGAGTTTCCAGAAAAATAAATGCTGAAGTGAGTAAATGGTCTGCTTTTCACATACAGAGTTGGCATTTATGACCCTGGCAGCAAAGTTCACATTTCCAGAAATGAAGTTTCTGTCTAATGGAAGAAACTTCTGGTCCCCAGTGGACAGTAAAAGACTGCTTTCTTCATCTTTGTAGAGTGCAATCCAAGCCAAGGGATCCAGTCTTTTCAAAGTAGTCCCGGGGCTCAGATCTGCATTGTTGAAAGTTCAGAGTGACAAGCACTACATATCAAATCACCCTGGTTTGATGTATCAGTGAATTGGAAATCATT